AAACCCCACAGAAATGCTTCCGCTGCGGCAGCCTACAGCACAAAGACCAATTATTAAACAAGTGCCCTGCCTTAAAAATGATTGTAAAAAGATCGCGAAGCGAGGACATTAAGTGCTCGTTGATGTCGGCAGCACGCAATTCCTCATTGAATCCTACAGATTCCGTTTCTGAATCAAAAGTTACAGTCCTCTGAAAATGTATGATTCCCATTGATATAAACACAAGTACTCGTGTCTAACAATCGTATACAATTGTCCAGAGCCTAAACTAACCTATGCCAGACAATGTACTGATACAGTTTTTAGCACAACGCGATAAGGAAATACAACGCATGTATGTACATGGCACTTGATTCAGCCTCGCCTGTCACTACAGTAAAATCCGAGTACGTATCTTTATGACATTTCACATACAGGGACCCCTGCCTTATACGATCTCTCTCAGCCTAATGCGAATTTGACGGATATACAAAGGACTTCCGGTAGAAATAACTGAAGGAATTATTAGGTAGGTGATTGGCTTTGCAACATTTGGGGCCCTGAGAAAATCACTTCAGTGATGACTCGTTGTACGTCACGCCGCGGCAAGAAACAACTCGTCCTCTAACTCGGGACGCACCGCTATGGTTGCACAGGGAGTCATCGCCGTCCCTAGCTCGTAATGCGTACTCATGGCTATTTAACCTAGTCAGACCATACAAGATACCGTACCCCCAGAAACTGTTTGAACAGAACAAGATGGTCGCATCGGCTTCACTTCCCTCCGTTCACCCGCGTCATGTCTGGAAAGCAGAGCGATGCGACAAATAACCACACGGTCATGCAATATAGCTCCACAATGATCCACAAAAGTGCACCAATTCACATCTTCTGGACCAGATGAGAGGTCTAGTATCGTCCGGCAATTACGGCAGATGCTATGCAGATGAATCTCTATTGAACCCCATTAAACTGTTTCAGAATGGGTCCACCCTATGTGTTACAGTCCTCAGAAGGACGGTACAGTAAGAATATGCAGTTGACCTCTAAAAACATGGCCCCTAAATCGGCAACACCGTCTGGTAAGAGAAGGTTTAGTCTGACTATCTCCAAACCTCGCGGAATGATACTCAATAGTTAAAACTAGCATGGGCGCTCCCGATATTTTTCAAAATGGACCATTAGGAAGGCCTTATCTTCACACATGCCTCTAATTAAGGATTCGAGTCAAGACCCCGCATGTAGACCGCATATTCTCCAACCTACATGACGCGAGAGAGCTAAGACCAGAGGACTACCACTTTTCAGTACAAAGTCTTGCCAATGGGCTTGAGTTCCAGCTCATCAGCACTTGGCAAAAGTTTTTATGGTTTCACACTCAGTATTGCCAGATTTAAAGCCTGGTCAGAACAGATAGTATACATAGGACGACATCCTGTGTATTCGGTATGGACCCTCCAGAACGAACATGTATTTCACTGCCCGGCTTGCATGCTGTGGTTTACTCCAACTACACCAACTAACTAGAATAAACCTCGAGAAGTGCAAATTAAAAGCTAGTGAATCGGATCCAGGGCCACATTATAAACAAATGAGGGTATGAAAGCCGAGTTTTTGACAACGCCCCGCGCCAGTGCCTCACTGAGGTCTCCCATGACCCACAGAAACTGCCACTGAAATAAAGCATTTGTTCTCTAACAAGGTAAAGTTGTTCTACAACCTACTTTATATGGCATATTACTAACTACAAGCAAAAAAATTGACTGAGCTCCCAACTGCTCTGTTACATCTGTTCCTAAACATAGGAAAGAAAAAGTTTTTAAAATTATTATTGAGCAGCTAATAATGTTTGGGTATCCACCCACACCAACAGGCATTGTGCAAATGCAATGATAAAATAAATCTAAAAACATAGATTACCGCATTGCAACAAACATCCCACACAAAATCAAGTCTCTATATGGCGCTTTTTTTTCGCGCGCACGAAACCCACGCAATCCCCAAGAAAACGACCATTTTGGTCTTAACTCAAAACAGCGAATAGCAGACACAAAACATTCTGGGTTGGTGGATCGCATATACAAACTAGATACATCGAAACCAACATTTGTTTCAACAATGCGGTATATGACCAATGAAAAGGAGCGAGCGCCATAAAAATTGATCGCGAGGCGACCAATTGCCGATATGCTTTACTGCAGCCTACCTTATAATAACTTACAACTCGCCTGCGTGATATAAGTGGTCAGAACATGTAGAGAAATGTGATGATCATTGCGTATGTCTTACTTGTTCGAGAAAGACCCTTCACAAAAATTATTCTATCGTTAATCAGCACACTAGACAACGCGCGAGCTCAATCAGAAATCATACAATTATACACATCACAGAAAGTAACAAATGGAACAAACATGACACTTCGGATACACCGCATGCGGTTATGCACCGATTTTTGTCTCAACAGTACTATTAAATTTCAAAAATTCAAAATATTTATTCTCTAAACCGTACTTCCACTCGGTTGAAGCACAGCGAAAACACTCAACTCGATATGAGCGAGATAGGGCAACTTCCATGCTTCGATATAGCTAACCCCCCACAAATACGAAAACTTGGTATAAGCAATACAACGGCGTCTGAGTTAATTATTAGTCGCAACACACCAAAATCTCAGCAATCCTAGGACTCTGCACGGCGACAAAACAACATTTCCTAGAAGGCAGCTAACTAACACTAGGAACAGGATGATGACGCATCATGCCAAAAGGAGAGGAGGCGGGCGAGCGAGCGATTGAAATATTGGGGGGGGGGGGGGGGGGGGCGGGGGGGGGGGAGGGGGGGGGGGGGGGGGGGGGGGGGGGAGGGGGGGGGGGGGGAGGGGGGGGGGGGGGGGGGGAGGGGGGGGGGGGGGGGGGGGGAGGGGGGGGGGGGGGGGGGGGGGAGGGGGGGGGGGGGGGGGGGGGGGGGAGGGGGGGGGGGGGGGGGGGAGGGGGGGGGGGGGGGAGGGGGGGGGGGGGGGGGGAGGGGGGGGAGGGGGGGGGGGGGGGGGGAGGGGGGGGGGGGAGGGGGGCGGGGGAGGGGGGGGGGGGGGGGGGAGGGGGGGAGGGGGGGGGGGGGGAGGGGGGGGGGGAGGGGGGGGGGGGGGGGGGGGGGGGGGAGGGGGGGGGGGGGGGGGGGGGGGGGGGGGGGGGGAGGGGGGGGGGGGGGGGGGGGGGGGGGGGGGGGGAGGGGGGGGGGGGGGGGGGGGGGGGGGGGGGGGGGGGGGGGGGGGGGGGGGGGGGGGGAGGGGGGGGGGGGGGGGGGGGGGGGGGGGGGGGGGGGGGGGGGGGGGGGGGGGGGGGGGGGCGGCGTACAGAAGGAGTATCTGCTAAACGGTTGGCCACAAAACAATAAGATCACAGGCGAGTTTCGTCCGTACTACGTGTTGCGTCACGAACTTTCAGTTATAGATGGATGATTAATGCGTGGCGAAAAGTTTGTGGCTCCTCGGAGCTTGATACAAAAGATCATGCTATGTGCTCACGAAGGCCACCCTGGTATCGTTCGTACGAAACGCAAGGTTGACGCATGTTTCTGGTGGCCCAAAATGTCACACGAAATAGAAAACCTTGTTCATGACTGCTCTTCATGTCAAAGGGCAGACAAGAGTTCAAGGCCGGTTTCATCCCCTATACAACCCATTGACTATCCTATGCGACCGTGGGCCAAGATAGCTGTTGACATCATGGGTCCATTTAGCTCAGCGCCTCAGCATCAAAGGAACTGTTTGGTAGCGACCTGCTTCTACAGTAAGTGGCCGGAAGTCCATTTGTGTGGAGAGGTGACTACTGCCAGCATTATTCGATGGCTGAAATATATGTTCTCCCGCTTCGGATTACCAGAGGAGATAGTGGCGGACAACGGGCCGCAGTTTACAAGCCACGAATTTCTTTCGTTCCTTCAACTTCACGCTATCCGACACTCACGTACAACGCCGTATAATCCAGCGGCAAACGGCATGGTAGAGCGGTTCAATCGATCCAAGCTATTCGCTTATCTGGTACAGGTTGGGAGTATGCAGTTCTACAAGCACTATTTTCTTACCGAACCGCACACCACCGAGCTACAGACAAAACGCCAGCTGAACTCATGCTTGGGCGTGTCCTTCGGACAAAGTTGAATGCCGCACTTCCAATTCCTGCAACCAATAATTCCGACGAGTTAGATCGTCGCCATCGATTTCAGACCACTTACCAGAAGCATACTACGCCGCTCCAGCCAGGAACATTCGTGCGCGTGAAGGTAAACGCTGCATCAAAAGGACAACCCACGTTATCAGATCCGATAAGAATAATGCATGCATGTGGGCCAGGCACTTACCGGCTGGAGGATGGCCGAACAGTCAACTCCCGGCGATTATTCACAAGTATCAGACGAACGAGGCAAATACCACCAAACTTCACTGACGAGACAACGCAAAGCACGCAGCTCCGCAGGACGAGCCGAGAACAAAGACGACCGTATCGATATGGTTTTGACGCCTCATACGATTAAGCGGAGAGGTGATGTTGTGTATTCTGTCAGCTGTCTGGGCGTCTAGTCTAGACAGACACGTGCACACAACCCAGACACACACACACACACACAAAGCGTCTAATTCTCTACTTCCTTATTGCTTCATCCTTCTCCTTGCGAAACCTATTGTACTCACCCAGTTAGACATTGTTCAGATTACAACAGTCCGTTTCCGAGAGTGACCTTTTCGTATACAACAATAACGAATCAAGCAATACTAAAGGCGAAAGTTCAAGATCAAAAAAGTATAAAGAGAGGGAGAATGTTTGTACAGATAAACCGACACCACTTTAATTCAGCTTCATGAAGTTCTGCTTCCGGCTCCAAGGCATTCAACCGGAAGACGTGCAAAACAGGTGGTAATGAAAAGGTATGCGACGTTAAAATGAAGTTTGGAAGTTGTTAGATGTTCAGCAGTTGCCGTGGCACTTACACTTCATATTAACGCTGCTTATTTGCTCTTACATTACCAACCATTAAAACTGAAAGCTATGCCATTTCCCTATGCCAAGGGGACTTAATATTGCATACCTGTGCACGGTTAATTACATTTCAACTATTGCAAAAAAATAGCTGTGAGGTACTGAGGCCCGGCGGCAACAATTCATTTGCGCTGATCCTATTGATTTTAAGCATAACGAAATGTTGTCGAAGTGTTCATCATTTGCGGGGTTTTTTACTTGTATTGACCTGGCCATTCCCCTGTTTGTCTGTGTTACACCTTCTGGACACCACATGGGGACTAGTAAAACAAACTAAGCTTTGCACAAATTTGGGAAGGCGTATCCTATTCCAACGTAATTAACCTACGTGGCTGTCGGCTAAGTGTGATATGTTTCATGCTCATCATCACTGTGCAGTGACTCCATTGACTAACACTGCGTTAGCTGGGAGCGTCAATTTCACATATTGGCGGCAAAGTGTTTTTCGACTAGCGGCCTGTAAAATAGCGTTGTTGCAGCAAAATATGACCAGAATTAGTTAACTAAAAAATAACCTTATTACGCATACAGAAGAATTAAGTTAAAGTGTAGGAAAAACTTTACTTATGCGATAAGAGCCAACATAAAGCCATAAATATATTATATTTAAAAGTGAAATTATATAATCAGGGAAAGCAACCTCCACCTCTGTATGTAGGCATAGGTACAAGCAGTTATTTTGGTTATTGACTCATCCTCACTCAATGGTCCCAAAAGTTGTTGCCGTACCTGACCACACAACCCAATTTCCGCTGTTATTTTTTCCATGCATTGGACCCTCTGGGATTTGGCTGTTCTGTTGGATATTAATACTTTTCGTTGAACAGCTTGTGGTGAGTTAACACCTTTGTTTTGTTTTGCGTGCCAACCTTTTTATTTGATTCGTGTAGTCGTTTCATTTCGGCTTTAGCTGCGAGGACCTACTTAACTAGGGGAACTTAAAATGCGTGGTGGCATGCAGTGCTATGTACGCAACTGCTGATACCATGAGACCTGCACCGATTTGAGCCCTGATCAGTACGCAATGCTTTCGACTAGCGATAGCATGCTGTTCAATTGTCTTCTATGCCGTCGCCGTCGATCTACGCCTCTTGTGGTCACTGAGGAGACATCGAGCAACGTCGGGCTGATAACCAGCAGTTGTGGTCTTTCCTCATATCTCTTGATCGGAAAGTGGAGCTACTGATGAGAAATATGGGAGTCTCTATTGATGTCGGCTCATTGAAGGAGGACACGCAACTAACCTCAATTGCTGTCGATGGAAATCCGACTGAGGTGATGTCTACCGTGTCATGTGTCCCAGCGTTCCAGCATGCCTCTAAAGGGGCCTCTGATGTCGTACTGGAAGCCGTCCAAAGCGTGACCAAACTTATTGCCCCTGGGCCCAATAAAAGCAGGAGGAAGAGGGCTAAGAAAGTCCCTAAAGCTACCTCAAAGCCTAAAGGTACTGAAAGCATTAAGATATTGGAGGTGGAATACAAAACTCCAACTCTAATCACCCCAGTTCCATTGGCGAAGCAACGCGCCGTGTCATCTGCCAAACCGGTCGAAACTGAGGTCGCGTCGAAGACGCTTGGAGTGAATACGCCTCGTCGAGCGGATTCTTTTACTGACAGTAGCGTTATCTTTCGTAACGTTGCTGAATCCGCGGCAGCTTTTCCAAAGGAGCGCATGCTGGATGACCTGCAGTGGTTCAAGCTCTGCGTCAACAAGATGCTTCCACCTGGTTTCCCCGGTGTCACTATCAGGAAATTAACCAGATTGGGGAACGTCCCTGTTGACAAGCCAAATCCGCGACCCCTACTAATTCGTGTAGTTTTCTCAACCCCGGAGGAACGCAAAGCGTTAATGAGCTTTGCATTCAAACTCAAGGGTAGTAATGTCAGCGTTCAGCCGGACCTCCCACTGGCAGATCGACTGAAGTTAAAGGAAGCCATCAAAAGCCTCAAAAGCAGGCGGGCGACTGGTGAGCAAGGCCTTCGTCTTGTGGGTTTTCAGGTGGTCAGTCGGAAGTCAAATTCTTCCCTATCAGAACCTCTCCTAGTAGCGTACGACCCAGGGCTGGTCGCGCCGAGTTCCTTCGGGTAGTGCTTAGTAATGTGCGTAGCCTATGGAACAAGGTACACGAGGTGGGTCTACTTGTAGACAAATCTCGTCCCGACATACTTGCTATCACCGAAACGTGGCTGTCCCCGGATATCACAGACGGTGAAGTATCTTTTCATGGCTACGCACTGCTTAGATGCGATCGCTCCGTTGGCCGCCAAGGTGGGGGCGTCGCTCTTTATGTGAGTTGTAAACTGGATGTGTTGAGGACTTGTGTGTTCCAGTCGCCGGATCAAACTGTTGAAGCCCTCTCGGCTATTGTGTGCACTTCCTCTGCTCAGTTTACAGTTGTAGTGGTATATCGAAGTCCTGGTAGTATCTCCAGGGAGGTTATTGAATTTATTGGTTGCTCTTCTGCGGATAACGACGT